ATCCCCCGCTGCCCTTTTTTTTCCTGGTCGGGTGCGAGGGAGCATGCCCGCGCCTCGCCTCAGCCAGCTAAGAGTTAACCCAAAGGGCGTGGAGCTGCCCCCTTCTCGGGGGCGTGCCCCCCTCCCCCGCTAGGCGGCCCGCCTCCCGCGCTAGGGTATGGCCCCCGGCCCCGGCCCGGGACCCGAGGTCCCGCACACAGGTCAGTGAAAGGCGTTTTCCCGTTCCCGCCCTCCTTCCCTCGCCGGCCAGCACCATGGGATGTAATATGTGCGTGGTCCAGAAACCGGAGGAGCAGTACAAAGTGATGCTTCAGGTAGGGCGGCTGGGCCGGTGAGGCGAGGGGTGTGGGCGCCACCTGGGGAAGAGCTGGCCCGGGTGCTGGGCCTGGTGGAGGGGCAGGAGGGCTCGAAGAGGAAGCGATAGGGAGCCACCCTCGCCCTCAATTTCTGGGGCTGCTGGGTGTTGGTGCTCCGTGGGAACTAGGCACAGATGGGGGGTGGGTAACTGCGTGGGGATAGGGGCGGGGCGCATCCCTTAGGCGCCCGGAGTAGATTGGGACGCGAGGTCTGGGTCCAGATCGGCCCGAGTCGGGAAGTTGGGCTCGACCCGGGTCCGGTGCGCTTGCACCCTAGGCCCGCGAGCGGGGAAACGCTGTGTTGCCGGCGCCGGCGCGGGATGGGGGTTGCATAGCAACCGCCTCGGTTCTCAGCACACGCTCGCCCCACTGGACCTAGGGAGGGGGAGGGAGATAGGAGCCCGCTGCGTGCTGAGGTGGGGGAGCCAAACCCAGGTCCCCATGGGCCAAGGGTGCAGGAGCGCGCAGGCCGCCCCAGGGCCCCGTGGACACCCAGCCAAGGTCGAGGTGCCTACCCCGGCAACTACTCAACGCTCTGGCCCTGCGCAAACAAACGGTGGGTTCCCAGGCCTTGGGAGCCTCGGGTGAGTTTTTGCGGCCGGGTATGCCGGAAGGGCAGTCTGCGGGCGGCTGTGCCTGGCCTGCTCTATGCCCCGCAGGGCCTCGGGGCCTGGGGAGATGGGGGGCCGTGGACCGGGCAGTGTTTAGCCGGAGGCTTCCTTGCCTGTGAGTAGCGTGACTTCGTGAGTGCGTGCCTGTGCCCCGTCTGTGTGTGCGCGGAGGCTCCTCCGGCCCCGCGAGTGTGTACTTTCTGTGTGCGCTCTGAGAGCTGTCTAGAGAAATGTCCCGGATGGCGTGGCCTGAGACGCCTCCAGGGCTAAGTAGAGGGAGTTTACGGTCAGGGAGTGGGTACCCAGGGCCAAATCGGGTGCGGACAGGTATGCGCTTCTACTCCAGGTTTATTGGTCACGACTGGGGAGCTGGTGCAGGCCGGAGAAGTGTTGGCAAGGGGGATGGAGTCTCCTTACAAGAATAGGGGGAACCCTACAGGCATCGGCATGGGCACGATGGGGGTGGGGATCAGTGCATCGAGGATTGGGGAGGCCGCAGGAATCCTGCATTCGTGCTGTGAACCTAGTTCCTCTGGCCGTCGGCAGCGGAGCCGGAGTGAGGCGGGACGGGGAATCGTGCCCTAATCTGGCGGCGCTCCTCATCTGCTCTCCGGGGCAGGTCTCCGGGGACGCGCGGGGCCCTTTGCTTTCCCCACGCGCTGCCCTCTGCCTTCTTTCTGCCTTTTCCTCCACACCTCCCACGCCAACTCCCCGCCCCCGTGCTTCCTCCCATCTCTTGTTCCAGCTGTTTGGAAATCTTTCCTGGCCGTTGCCATTGCTCCTCGTGGGATCGGGTTCGGGAATGGCCCAGGCTGGGGCCGCCAGGCAGTCCCTTGGAATCCCAGTGGTGGGCACCAGAGCTGCGGGCAGGAGGTGGGCTGCGTTTGTTGGTTGATGAGGCTGTAGGATCCCATCCTCACTGCCTCTTTTCTTGGAATCATCCCATCAAATGGCAAGTAATTCCAAAGCGGGTGGCCCTTCCTCGGAGAGGAACTGATGTAGTACTTGGTGAAAGGCAAACCCCGTCGGGGTTTGTGGACGGTGGACGGCGGCCTGCCCTGCACTACAGGCCTGAAATGAACCATGATTGGGAGGCGACACTTCTGTGACCCTTGGGCCTCCCCATGGTAGTGGGAGGGAGGCGGCCACAGGTCTGGCTGGGACAGCCTTCAGGGAGTCTCCATGTTGGAGCAGGGCTTGAGGTGAACCTGGGCAGGAAAGTTCTGGGCCAGGCTTTGCTTCTGGAGAGAGCCCCAAGCTCTGGGCAAGTAGGGCCCCAGGAGGGGGGCTGCCGTCCGCCAGCTGCCACTGCTGGCCAGCCCCTGGGGATGCTGCTTCCCTTTTCTAGCTCTTGCAGAAGTCTGGACAGAATCACAGACTGAGTTCAATCTTAAAAAAGGAATTATCCTTTAAAATTAAGGGGAGATGAAAGAGATTTGAATAAGAAGAAATCTGGAAAGCAGGGACAGCTCCTGGCTTGAACCTCTTTTTAGAGGGGAAGGAAGCTGTTTCAAAAGACCAGTCAGCTTCCAGGACCCCTGGCCTGCCTCCTTTCTCGAACACTGGTGCTTTCTAGCTTCAGAGGTGCTTCTCCCCGTCTCATCCATACCTGCCCGTGGCCCCTTCATCTCAGCAGAATAGGGGACCCCACCGAGATAATGCAGCCCAGAGAAACGCACAAGTACACTTTCGCCACTTGCCATGTAACTCCCGAACGCCAGGACTCCCTGGAGCCCCTTCCCAGATCCCCAGAGGTGTATTTTAGTATATTCAGAGAGTTGTGCAACCGTCACTAGCATCTAATTCTAGAACATTTTCATCACTGTAAAAAGAAACCCTGTACCCAGTAGCAGTCATATACCCATTTCCCCCAATACCTCCTAGACTCTGGTAACCACTAATCTACTTCTCTATGAATTTGCCTCTCCAGGTATTTCATCTGAATGAAACCATATGATATGTGACCTTATGTGTCTGGCTTCTTTCCCTAATCATGTTTTTAAGGTTCATCCATGTGGTAGCATGTGTCAATACTAAATTTCTTTTTATTGCTGAATGATATTCCATTGCATGGCTATGCCACATGCTATTTATCTGTTCATCCATTGGTGGACATTTGGCTTATATCCTCCTTTTTGCTATTGTAAATAATGCTGCTGTGAACACGAGTGTACAAATATCTGTCTGAAACCTTGCTTTCAATTCTTTTGGGTGTATGTTCAGAAGTGGAATTGCTGGATCATATGGTAATTATGTTTAATATATTAAGGAGCTGCCAAACTGTTTTCCACAGGAGCTGCACCATTTTACATTCCCATCCGCAATATAAGAGGATTCTAGTTTCTTCACATCCTCCCCTGCACCTCTTATTGATGACAGCCATCGTCGTGTTTGCCATGGTATCTCATTGTGCTTTCCAAATGAGCATCTTTTCATGTGCTTCTGGCTGTTTGTGTGTCTTTTCTAGAGAAATGTCAGTGACACTCTGCTTTTACTATAGCTTTGTAAGTAAATTTGGAAGTGTGAGTCCTCCAACTTTGTACCTTTCATGATTGTTTTGTCTATTCTGGGTCACTTGAGTTTCCACATGGATTTTAGGATCAACTAGTCAGTTTCTGAAAAGGCAGCTGTGATTTTGTAGGAATTGCATTGAATTTATATATCAACGTGGGGACGTACTACCCATGAACATGGGGTGTCTTTTTACGTGGATCTTCAGTTTCTTCACTGATGTTTTGCACTTTTGTTAAATTTATTCGTGAGGATTTTATTCTTTATGATGCTCTAGTAAGTAGAATTATTTACTTAATTTCCTTTTCATCCTTCCCATTACTACTGTATTTCTATTGTATGTATTTTTGTATATTGGTCATGTATCTTACAGTCTTACTAAACTCATTTATTTGCTCCAATCGTTTTTTCACTTAGTGGATTCTTCAGGATTTTCTATATATAAATAGAGGTAGTTTTACTTTCTTTCCAATCTGGATGCCTTTTATTTCTTTTTCTTGCCCATTTGCTCTGGCTAGCACCTCTAGTCCAAGGTTGAATAGAAGTGGTGAGAGTGGGCATCCTTGCCTTGTTTCTGATCTAAGAGGAAGCTTCCAGTCTTTGACCAGTAAGTACGAAGTGAGCTGTAGGTTTTTAATAGATGCTCTTTATCAGGTTGAGGACGTTCCCTTCTATTCCTAGTTTGAGTGTTTTTTTTTTTTATCATAAAGTGTCATTAGATTTTGTCAAACGCTTTTTCTGTGGCTATTGAGATGATCACGTGGTGTTAGCTCTTTATTCTATCGATACTGCCTATCCCAGGCCCTTAAAGTGCAGCAAGTTAGAGCTCTGGCTCCATTTCCATTATCCCAGTCCTGTCCTCCAAGGATACTTAACCTAGTGTAAGCAATGCAGGGGGGTGGGTGCAGGGAGAGCTTGAAAAAATCTGGAAGTGACCCTGAGTGGGGGCAGGGTCATGCATGTTGAGTTAGGAGGAGGAAGGAGCCATGTCACAAAGGGCAGAAAGGGAGGTAGTGTGGTCACCTAGCACTGAGGCACAGGACCCCTGCCAAGAGCCTTTCCTGGTGCTCCTGGAAAGGGCCTGTGTCCTCTCTGACACTTTGCCCCCCCCCATCGTGGATCTGTCTTGAGCCATTGCTAGAAAATTCTACAAAATGCAAACTAATCTATAGTGACAGAAAGCAGATCAGTTTTTGCAGGGATGGGTGGGAGGGAGGGATGACATAGGGGCATGAGATCACTTCTTTTGGGGATGCTGGAAATGTTCACTATCTTGATCCAGGTGATGGTTTCACAGATGTATACATACGTCATATCAAAACTTTTCACACTGAACACTAATTATGTGCAGCTGTTCATATGACAGTTATGTCCCAGTAAAGCTTTCAAAACAAGAAATCTATGCACCAAAGGAAGAAAAGCAAGAAAAGCACATGAGACCACTTTGCCCAGCATGGGCCCCTGGTGGGGCTGAGTGGATCTTTCTTTCCTTTTACTTCAGGGTCCCTGCCAGGGAAGACAGTGTGATGTGGGGATACTGAATGGCTCACTGGCTCAGTGCCTCAGCTTCCTCACCTGCTATGTGAGAATAAAGAGTACTTGCCTCCTGGGGTCATTGCCATTGGGTAATCAGCATGGCACTGGTTCTCCTGGGATCTCATTTGGGTGGGGGTGGAGTTGCTGCTATCAGGCCTTTTGGTCAGTCGGCAAGGCGTGTAAATTGGATGGAGAAGGCATTATTCATGAACATGGCCCAATTAATGTCCAGTGACAGAAGAATGCCCAATATTAGGAGATGGACAGATACCAAAGTGACGGCATATTTGGTCTTTTTCG